CGGTTCCAACTCGATGGCACCTGACAACAACAACAACAACAATATTACTGTAGTCATTTCAACGTTGTACTATGTTTATTGTGCGCACAATATGTCTTTTCTTGTTCTTTTATGTTCAACCTATATTTGAACTGCAAGGTTGATGGTTCAAATTCAATAGCCACTCCTCAGAAACCCTACATAGGGTCTCTGTGAGTTGAAACTGGCTCCATGGCACTAAATTTACAACAAGATTTGTATCTTTGAGTCTATGTTGTCTCTTGCAGATGAGTATTAGTTGGCTCTTTTTGTTAAAACCCAATCTGACAGGCATTGTTTTTTTTTATTCTATTGTTTAATCAATATGGTTGGGTTTATAGCTGCCATTTTGCTTTTTGGTTTTTATGTGTTGTATCTTTATTTCCCCTCTGTCCCTTCCACTGTCTTTTGCGTTAATTATTTTCTTTTAAAGAATGATCTTTTTTTCTAATTTTGATTCTTTTAATTATCTTTTCACTATTTTTTCATTCTTCTTAATGGTTGCTTTAGAGTTGACAGTTTAAAATACATCTTTAAAATCTATTGCAGATTTGTATTAACTGTTAGATCCCATTGGTTTTATATTTCAATGAGCTGTAGGAACATTACACAGCCACCATCTGTCTGTCAGTGAAAACTTTCATGTTGCTATGATGCAGAACAGGTTCAGCAGAGCTTCCAGACTAAGGCACTAGGAAGAAAGGCCTGGTCATCTACTTACAAAAAATTAGCCAGTGGATCGCTACAGTCCAGTCCTGTTGTACATGTGGTCATTATGAGTTGGGGTTGGGGTCCGACTCAATGACAGTTAGCAAAAACAAAACATTACGCCTTATTTAGCTCTATACTCTCCTCCCCTTGTTGGTGTTATTGTTGTACACATTGCAGTCTCATTACACATCTAAGTCTGTCAACAACTGATGTTGAGACACTCACTCATCTATGCCAAAACATGTGGAAGACTTGGCCAACTGATTGGAAGAGATCCATATTTGTTCCCATTTCAAAGAGAGGCAACCTAACAGAGTGCAGAAATCATTGGACAATATCACTAATATCACAGGCAAGTAAAATTTTGCTCAAGACAATTGAAAAATAGCTGTAACAGTACATTGACAGGGAACTGCTAGAGGTTCAAGCTGAATCCAGATGGGGCCGTGGAACGAGGGATGGCATCGCTGATGTCCAGTGGATCTTGGCTGAAAGCAGAGAATACTGGAACGATGTTTGCCTGTACTTCATTCACAATGCAGAGGCTTTCGATTGTGTTGACCACAATAAGCTATGGACAACATTGAGGAGAATGAACATTCCGGAACACTTAATTGTGCTCATGAGGAACCTGTACATAGAGCAAAGAGGCAGTCATTCGAACAGAACAAGGGGACACTGAATGGTTTAAAATCAGGAAAGGTGTGTGTCAGGGTTGCATTTTTTCTTCATACTTATTCAGTCTGTATGCTGAGCAAATAATCTGAGAAGCTGTATTATATGAAGAATAACATTTGCATCAGGATTGGAAGAAGACTCATTAACATCGTTCAATATGCAGATGATGCAACCTTGCTTGTTAAAATCTAAGAGAACTTAAAATCCTTAACTGATGAAGAACAAAGACCACAGCTTTCAATATGGTTTACTCCTCAGTGTAAAGAAAACAAAAATCCTCATCACTGGACTAATGAATAACATTATGATAAATGGAGAAAAGATTGAAGTTGTCTAAGACTTGGTTTTGCTTGGATCCACTAACAACATTAATACAAGCAGCAGTCAAGACATCAAACGACATACTGCATTAGGCAAATCTGCTACACAAGACCTCTTTGAAGTGTTGAAGAGCAAAGATGTCAGTTTGAGGACTAAGGTGCGCCTGACCCAAGGCTTGGTATTTTGAATAGTCTTATATGCATGTGAAAGTCGAACAATGAATAAGGGAGACCTTAGAAGAATTGGTGAATTTGAGTTATGGTGTTGCAGGAGAATATTAAAAGTACCATGGGCTGCTAAAAAAACAAACAGGTCTGTGTTAGAAGTACAGCAGGAATGCTCCTTAGAAGCCAGGATGGTGAGACTTCGTCTTTCATATTTCGGACATTTTATCAAGAAGAATCAGTCCCTGGAGAACGACATCATGCTTAGTAAAGTATGTTGTTGTTGTTGTTAAGTGCCGTGCCGTTGAGTCTGTTCCGACCCATAGCAACCCTGTATAGGGTTTCTGAGGGGCTTCTGGTGAGCTTGAACCGACTTTGCAGTCTGGCGGATTAACCCACAGCACCACACCAGGACTCCTAGTAAAGTATAGAGTCATCAAAAAAAGAGGAAGACTCCCTAACAAGATGGATTGACACTGGCAGCAACAATGAACTCAAACGTAACAATGATGTTGAGGATGCGCAGGACCTGCCAGTGTTTCATGCTATTGTGCATAGGTTGCTGTGAGTCAGCACTGACTCAACAGCACCTAACAACGTAACAGCAACACATTGCAGCTGTATGTATATTAGAAGCCCAACTGTGCATTGTTGCAATTGTTGTTGTTGCTGTGACTCCCTGTGTTTAGTTAGATTTCCCCTCAGAGTAACTCCATGTGATAGCATAAAATTGTCCCCTAAACAGCCTATGGGGCAATCTTGCTAGGCTATAATTATCAAGTTCTTGGAGACCCTGTCCAGGTTCGCTATGAGTTGGAACTGACTTGATGACATTTAACAACAATGACAAATCTTTGTAGACGCAGATCGCCAGGTCTTTTCTCTTGTCGTTCACCACCAACCTTTCAGTTAACAGCTGATTGCTTTACTGTTGTGCCACCAGGGACCCTTGTTATAATCAATACTTCATGTAATTCTCTTATTTCAAAAAGCAGATAGAATAAAGGAAAGCAGTCATGCTCATATTTATGTTGTTGGGAAGTCAGTTCTGATTTATGTATTCATTTGGTGGTGGTGTTAAGTGACTTTGAGTCTGTTCCAACTCATAATGACCTTGTATAGGGTTTCCAAGAAGCGCTTGGTGAGTTTGAACCGCTGACCTTGTGGTTCAAACCGACCTTGCAATCCAAATGTTATCCCACAATGCCATACCATGTATTGATGATGGTGGTGGTGGTGTGCCATGGAGTTGGTTCTGACTCATAGCAACCCTGTATACAGTTTCTGAGGCTATAAATCTTTACAGGAGCAGAAAGCCTTATCTTTCTCTCATGGAACCTCTGGAAGCTTCAAACTGCTTGACCTTGAGGTTAGCAGCCCAACTCATAACCACTAAGCTGCCAGAGCTCCTTCCATATATTGATGTTGTTGTTTTTATGTGCTGTGGAGTTGGTTCCAACTTATAGCGACCCTACACAGGGTTTCCGAGGCTGTAGATCTTCACAGAAGCAGAAAGCCTCATCTTTCTAATGCAGAACAGCTGGTACTTTCGAACTGCTGACCTTGTGGCTCGCAGCCTGGTTTGTAACCACCACGCTCCCAGAGCTCCTTCCATGTATTGATAAAGGTTGTTATATCAATCTTCTTATTTACCATTTTTTGTTTTCTCAATCCTTTGTTCCTCTGGATTCAAGTTACCATCTGGTGTTACTTCTTTACTCCAATACAGTTTTATCCCCATTTGTCTCTTTTGTGTTGTTTCTGTCAAATACATTACATTTCTATGTACGTTTCATATATATAAAACAATAGGTTTCTGAATGATTTAAGAGAAGAAATATATTATCTTTTGTAATTACCTATGTAATTAATTTCACCAGCACTCTGGGTTTTTTTCCACTTTGCATTTTGAAACACTTCGCCTTATTGAGCTGTAACTCACATGCTCTGTGACCCATTCATTTAGAGTACACTTCAGAGTGGGACAGCCTCCACCATGACGATCAATTTTAGTACATTTTCATCACCCCAAAACAAAATCCCCAATGCTCATTCCTGCCATCTCCCGCTCTAGCCACTAGTCTGCTCCCTATTTCTATGGCTTTGTCTGTTTCCAGTATTTTGTGTAGGTGGAATGACAAAATATGTGGCCCTTTGTGACTGGTTTCTTAGTGTAACGCCTTCAAGGTTCATTTGCATTGTAGCATGTGTCAATATTTCATTCAATTTTATTGCCAAATAATTTCATATATTTTATGTTTCTTATAAGGTAGGTCTTCTAGCAACATATTTTCTAAAATTGTGTTTACCTGGGAATGTCTTTTTTTAACCCTCATTTTTGAAAAATAGTTTGTTGAATGTAAGATTCTTGGTTGACAGTGTTCACCTTCAGCACTTGAAATAGGCCATCTCACTGCCTCGTTTTTTCTGTTGAGAAGGCAACTGTCAATCTTATTGGCCTTCCCTTTGGCACTGCAGGATAAGCAGTGGACAGCTAACCTCAAGATCTGTGGTTCAAACCCACCAGCAGCTCAATGGGAGGAACATCAAACACTGTTGCTTTGTGTGTATACCTATTCTTGACTTTTTATAAAAGTGAAACAATGTAATATTTGTCCTTTTGTAACTGACTCCTTTCACCCAGATTCATCCCCAGTCTGGAGATGCTTTATTCTCTGGTAAAACCTTTTGATGGGTGTAAGTATTCCATTTAAAATTTTGAGAAGCATTCAGCTATTATTGCTTCTAATATTTTTTCTATCCTTTACTTTCTCTTCTCGTTCCTTGCCTGCACATACCTGGATTAGAACACTCGGGGTAGAACTTCCATGTTCTGGAGCTGAGGGTCAGGGAGTAGGCCCTGACTCATACACAGTGGATGACAGGGTCTTTTAAATCACAAGGAGGGGTAGGGGGCTTCTGAAACACATAGACACTCTTCTCACTGAGATCCACTTGATGTTTGTGAATGTGTGGTGGTGCCGGTTAATGCGCTAGACCACAAGGTCAGTGGTTCAAGCTCACTAGCTGCTCCTTAGAAACCCTATTATACAGGGTTGCTATGAGTCAGAACCAATTCACTGGCACTTAACAACATCAGCAGCAGTTTCTCTCTTTGCTATATGCCCTTAGGGCAGTTTCTAGAGATCTGAAATTTTCCTTTTTCATAGCTTTCACCAGTTCATTTGTTTTGGTGGGAAGAGGACCCACTGTGCTCTCCACTCTGAGCTTCAGGAGCGCCCTACCCCTCCTCGTGATTTGTAAAGACCTTGTCATCCGCTGTGGCCCATATGGCAGGCACAAGGGCTTGTAGATCTCTGCAAGCCAGTCTCCGGGTTGAATCTTCTTTTTGGATGTTTTCTAGATCCAGCGGATGGCTCTTTGGGCATCTGTGTGGTGAAGGATGACACCAAGATCAGCATTGAACCGTGAGTGGAACAGACTTAGATTCCAAAGGGTCCTCCAAATTGATGTGATTTCGGCCCCCTTAGATTCCAGTGTCCGTTTTTCCCAGGGGCCCCTCGGTAGCAGAGCAGCAGGAGGTTTCTCTGGGTATCTGCAGGGAGATCCCACAGTATTCCTTCTGTCCAGAGATACCATGAGTGGTGGGGACACAACACCCCAGACACTGGGATTCTAGGAGAATTGGCCATGGCTTTTTGTGAGACTGGTGAGAACCTAGAGAATATAGCCCAACAAGTGTAGCCTTGGATACAGAATGTGCCCGATATTAGCAGCTGCTTCCCCTGCACTGGGCACCAGCAGAGATGCCCGAAGGAAGTGCCCCTGAGAGCTTTCTGAAATGCCTGTGTGTGTCTGTCAGTGGCGTGGCATGCCCGGAGCATCTGAACTGCCCCACAGAACAGGCACACACAGCACCCAGTCTTCTTTTTCTAAATAATGTTTTATTGTGTTTTGTGTGAAGGTTTACACAGCGGTTTAGCCTCCCATTCAGCAATTTCTATACAAGATTCTCAGTGACATTGGTTTTTTTCTTCACAATGCATGAATGTTTTCAATATTTGCATTCTGGTTGTCCATTTCCACTCATCTAGTTTCCCTGTTCCCTTATGCTCTCATCTTTGTTTAAAAGTAATTGTTGACCGTTTGGTGCCTATAAGCGATTTTTTAAAAGTTGCACAGTACTAATGGGTGATATTAATTTTTTTTAATTTATTTTTTTGAGCCAATGTGTTATTTAGCTACAAGGTAATCTCAGGGGTTAGTTTAGTTCAAGGTTTTAAGAGTATCTCAGGGCAATAGTCTCAGGAAATTCTCCAGTCTCAACTGGTCCAGTAAGTCTGGTGTCTTTCTTTATTTTTAGGAATTTGAGGTTCTCTTCTACATTTTTCTTCCATTCTATCTGATTTCAGGTTTTGTGGCTCTGATTAGAATGGTGGGTAGTGATAGGCAAGCATCATCTAGTTCCTCTGGTCTCAGAATGGTGGGTAAGTGGTAGGTGGGCATCATCTAGATCTTCTGGTCTCAGAGTAGATGAGGCTGTGGTTTGTGAAGCTCATTTGTCCTACAGATTAGAGTCTTCTCTGAGAGAGCACCCCATGTTACTCCCAGTCTGAGTCACATTGGTGTCTCCTTCATGTCTGTGTGTGGCCACATTGCAGACACATCAACATAGGAAGCAGATTTCAGGCTGAGATCCCGGACCTCCAGGAGAGGTCTCTGGCCAATACCGATGAACGCATAGCTGCTCTGGTCTGGAAGCCGTGGGGAGATGTGATGACCAACCCGGAAACACAGGACCGAGGTAGCTGAGGCTCGGGGCTCAAATTCCCACCTCCCAGAGAGTTTTCCTCCTGCTTTTCTCCTTGACCAAGAAGCAATGTCCCCTGGAGACCTTGGCCCTGGCCCAGTGTTGCTTCTTTCATGCAGCATTCCCCTGCCCCTGCTCCTCCCCTATCAGGACAGCCAGTCCATGTCCAGAGCAGGCGACAGGAACCCCTTTCTCTTTGTCCTCTCTTTCCTCAGCCTGCCTCACCTGTGATGTGAGCAGGTGGAAAGAGGTCCACCTGAGAGAGCGTGCAGTTGAAATCCACCCAGAGGCGCCCAAGAAGAGAGACTTGGCAATCTGCTTCTAAAAACCAGCCCTTGGAAACCCTGTGGAGTGTAGTTCCACTCTGACACACATGGGGGTGCTATGCACCAGACTTGACTGGCTGGCAACTGTTTTTTTGTTGTTTTGCTTTTAATGAATGAGAATTAGAAAGGAACATAAACATGGGGGGAAGTACATGTGAGAGGGCTTCCAAAAGCTCGTGGGCAAATGGAATTAAAATATAATGGAATTTGTCTGTGAACTTTTGAAGCCCCCTCAGATGCTTCACCAAGCCTGTACAAATAGAGGGATGGGGGGAGTGAAACAGTGCCAGAGAGAGCAAATAGTGAATGAGATGTAAGAAGGAGCAAATACAACAGTATGTAAATAATGTTGTTGTTGTTAAGTACCATAGAGTCAGTTCGGACTCATAGCAACCCTGTATAGGGTTTCCAAGGAGCAGCTGGTGGGTTTGAATTGCTGACCTAGGGGTTTGCAGTTCAGTGCTGATTCTACAGTGCCACACCATAATAAATGGGTTTAATGAACTTATTTAAAGACACTCTAGCTAGCGTAGTGGGTATGCGTTGGGCTGTTAGCCGCAAGGTCAGCAGTTCAAATCCCCCACAGTTCTGCGGAAGGAAGATGAAGCTTTCTCCTCCTGCAAGATTTACAGAAACCCTATACAGGGTCAGTATGAGTTGAAACTGCCTTGCAGTGCATAAGCAGCAGCAGCAGCGCTCTCGAAGTGTGTATAAGCTTATAGCTAAAACCACGGAGTTGTGAAATAAACTGTAGAGGAGTAGAGTCAATATCGGAATCCCAGACCCATCACATTTGGGTTGATTCTGACTCAGAATGACGTTAGAGGACAGAGTAGACCTGCCCCAGGGGGTGGCCAAGCCTGTCATCTTTTAGGAAGCAGACTGCCACATCTTTCTACCACAGAGCAGCTAGTGGGTTTGATTAGCAGCTGAGTACTTCACCACCATGCCACCAGGGTCTCCGACTGGAGTCCCAAAACAAAACAAAAAACCCCAAATCCACTGCCATTGAATTGATTCCAAATCATAGTGACTCTATAGGGTGACTCTCTATACGATTCCTAAGACTGGAAATCTGTATTGGAGCAGACAGTCTCATCTTTTCCCATGGAGTTGCTGGTGGTTTTGAACCGCTAACCTTATGGTTAGCAGGTCAATGCCTAACCAACAGCGCCCCCAACCCAAATCAAACCAAACCAAACCCAGTTCACCACTGTAGAGTCGATTCCAACTCATAGCAACCCTGTATGAGGGTTTCTGAGATTGTAGGCCTTTACAGGAGAAGCAGTGGGTTTGTACTGCTTACCTTGTGATTAGCAACCCAGTGCTTAGCCCTCAGCACCACCATGGTTCCACAGGAGTCACATGGTGGTACAAATGGTTAAAAATCAGTCTTCTTCTTGTTAAGTGCCATGGAGTTGGTTCCAACTCAGAGCAACCCTGTATAGGATTTCCAAGGGAGCAGCTGGTATGTTTGAACTACCAATTTTGTGGTTCACAGTCTAGTGCTTATCCTGTAGTACCACACCAGGCGTCCAAAAATCAGTCTTAGGGGGGCAAAAAAACTCAGCACTGGAAGACCCTATGGAGTACATTTCCACTTTGCCACACATGTGAGTGCCTGGAGCTGGAGCTGGAGCTGACGGGATGGCAGTGGGCTTTCTGGGGGCTGTCTGGGGAGGTCTCCTTCTCTTTATCACACTTGCTGACTCCTTTACGTGTCCTCTTTCTCCCACCTGGCTGGGGTGGCTTCCTTGTCTTCATGGGCACAGTGACAGAGCTCTGCAACGTGGCTTGCTCCAGCGTGATGCCAGGAGGCGGTACCAACCTGGAACTGGCACTGCACTGTCTGCATGAAGCCCAGGGCAATGTCCAGGTGAGGCCTGGGGGGGTCTGGGGGTGTCAGTTACTGAAGATTAAAGAGCAGCATCACCCAGCCTTCTCCCTGATGGCCTCAGGCAGCGTAATCAGCAAGTCTTTATTGGGTCCCTCTGTATGCCCTAAGGAGTCCTGGTGGCACTGTAGGTTAAACACTGAACTGCTAACCACAAGGTCGACAGTTCAAACCCACCAGCCACTCCACAGGAGATAGATGGGGCAGTCGGCTTCCATAGAGATGACAGCCTCAGAAAGCCGATGGGCCGTTCTGCTCCATCCTATAGGGTCACGATGCGTTGGAATCAACTCCACAACATGTGGTTTGGTTTGTTCTAGTTGGTGTTTGTCCAGAAGAGCCCGGGCAGGGCAGTGGTTAAGTGCTCAGCGTGAACCAAAAGCTCGGCAGTCTGACTCCACCAGCCCCTCCTCAGGAGAAAGGTGTGGCGATCTGCCTCTGCAAAAGTTCCCAACCCAAACCTAACCCAGTGCTGTAACGTTGATTCTGACTCATAGTGCCCCTCTAGGACAGGGCAGAACTTCCCCATAGGGTTCCTGAGGCGATACATCTTTATGGAAGCAGACTGCCATGCCTTTCTTCCACAGAGCAGCTGGTGGTTTCAAACACCTGACCTTTCTGTTAGCAACCAAGTGGTTTGACCACTGTGCCACCAACCTTGGAAGCCCTACGGGGCAATTCTCTTCTGTCCTATATAGTCATTAATGAGTCAGAATCAACTTGACAGCAACAGGTATAGTTCTGGCTTATATGAGTGACCTATAAGCTAATCGGCCCTGGGGGGCAGGGCCAACTTCAGAGGCAGCGGCCACCCTGTGCTGTGCTCCGTTTTAATGCTATGCTGAGGTTCTTAATAACGTTTAAACAAGAAGATTCCACATTATCATTTTGCAGTGATGTAGCTAGTCCCAACTGGAGTTAACACTGGTGAACAAGAGAAAACCCCTGCTCTTGTCAGCCTTCCATTGTCAAAGGGAGTTAGAATAGGACAAAGTAAAAGCCTCACCCTACAGTAGCAGATGCTGGTCCATGCTGTAAAGAAGCTTAGTGGAACAACACAGACAAGAGCAGTCGGATGAGAGCAGGAGTCTGCACCAGGATGAATCCTCGCCAGTTCCCTCATCGAGAAGGTCTTGATATGAAAAAAAAAAGTAGGCTGGACTCACCGTATGCTTAGTGATGGAGTCAGTTTATAAGTAACAAGTAGTTTGCAGACTGCTGGCTGGCCGTGGACCACACTTTGAGTAGCTGTGGATTAGAGAGTGACTTAGGGAAGGCTTTAAAGTGTGTTGTTGTTAAGTGCCATCCAGTTGGTTCTGACTCATAGCAACACTGTCTAGGGTTTACAAGGAGAGGCTGGTGGGTTTGAACTGCCGACCATGTGGTTAGCAGTCCAGTCCTTATTCTATAGTGCCATACCAGGACTCCATAAAAGTACAAGGGGAGCTTCAAACAGTTCCTGGAAAAATGGAATGAAAAGATAACAGAATTTCTCCAGAAGATTTTTGAAGCCCCCTTGGGTTATTCAAATGAATGAAAACATGAAGATCACCAATCCTCCATTGCCCTGCTGTCCCCTTCCATCTTCCCCCACCCCCACCCCCACCCCGACCCCAAGTAAGTCACCTATTCCTCTTGTTCTAGCTTGCCCTGGAGACACTCCTGCTCAGAGGCCCCCAGAAGTCCCGGACGCATCCACTAGCTGACTACCGTTACACAGGTAACTGGGCCAAGGCTGCCGGGAGCGCATCAACTGTGCTGGCATCCTTAGCCTGGGCTCTGGAGCCCCCCTCACTTGCCTTTCCTGCAGGGCCTGTCCTCCTGGGTGCCTCAATGGGCTCTGTTTTCTTTTATGTGGACCCTACTTTTCTCCTTTCCCTAGCGAGTTCCCTCAAGCACTCCACACAGTCAGGTCAGGGAGATGGAGCAGGGAAGAGGCTCAGAGTTGAGAACACCAGCTCTGGACTCGGACGACTTAGGGCCCCCACTTGCCCTTGGCAAGTCCTTAACCAGTGGAAGCCTTGGTTGCCCAGTATGTGGAGTGGGGATAGTCATGTTTTCTACCTTGAATGGTTTTTGTGAGGGTTGTATGAGATAAAGAAATCCCCTAAGAGGTACAAATGGTTCATGTGCTCAACTGCTAACTGAAAGCCTGGAGGTTGGAGTCCACGCAGGGCTACCTCAGAAGAACGGCCTGACACTCTAATTCCAAGTAATCAACCATTGTGGCCCTTCTGGGTCACAGTTCTACTCTGACACATACAGGGTTGCCATGAGCTGCAGTCATTGGTCGTAGACGCTAAAGCAAGTAAGGGGCATGGCAGGGTGCTGGCTACAGCAGACTGTGCTCAGTGAACAGCTGCTTTAGTGTGGAGGGTGGTCTGGTCGCCACTCAGCAACGTCCCTTCCCCGGGCTGTGTTCTCTGACAGGTTCAGACATCTGGACCCCCATGGAGAAGAGACTCTTTAAGAAGGCATTCTGTGCCCACAAGAAGGACTTTTACATGATACACAAGACGGTAAGGTGGCTGAAGGCTGGTGTAGACTCAGCCTCGCCTCACAGAACAGAGATGAGCTGGAGCTGAAGGGTGGGCCCAGAGCTTGGCCCTCAGTCCCCACAACTCCACTTCTGCCTGCCTGGGCGATGCTTGACTCATAATTGTAAACAGTTAATCATTTTAACAAGCCCTTGTTATGAACAATTCCACACCATCCAGAAATGCATGACATGCTTCAGGTAAAATCTACAGGCCCTTACTGTCAGCAGCTTGGTGACTACGTACAGGTGTTTCTCTGCTCCTGTAGAGCTGATACCCAGATTTGCAGGCCCAAAGGGAAGGAGCTCATACTCTCCATAGTGTCCTACAGCTTGGCAGTGTTTTCTTTTAACTTGACGTACACAAAGGTATGGTAATGTTGGCTACATGTTGATGTGTGTTCCCACCTGTGAAACCCTCACCACCATCAAGATAATGAACAAGCCCTCAGCCCTCCTGTTTCCCCCTGTCTCCAGGTGCCCGCTGGTGTACTGTCTGTCACTCAAAATTAGCGTGGAGTTTCTGGCGTTGTCCTTATCTGTCTGGCCTCCTTCCTTTAGCTGAAAGTTTTGAGATTCACCCACGCAGCTGTGTACATCACCTGTCCAGTTCATCCCTTTTTATTGCTGAGTAGGACTCCACGATAAACACTGGACTGTGAACCACAAGGTTTGCAATTCAAACCCACCAACCACTCTGTGGAAGAAAGATGAAGCTTTCTGCTCCTGCAAAAATTTAAAGTCTCGGTTGTTATGAGTCGAAACTGGGATGGCACTTAACAACAACAGGACTCCACTGGATTAGGAGCCCTGGTAGTGCAGTTGTTAAGCGCCTGACTGCTAACGGAAAGGCTGGTGGTTCAAACACTCCAGCTTCTCCACAGGAGAGAGATGTGATTTTCACACGGTGTCTCCATAAGGTCTTACAGCTTTGGAAACGCGCTAGGACAGCTGTGCTCTGTAGGGTCACTGTGAGTCAGTTGATGGACGGCACTGGGTTTGTCCATTGTACGGCTGTGCCAGAGTCTGTTTAACCATTCATTTTGTTGTTGCCACATGAATGTCTTCAGTTTTTTTAAAATGTTTTATTGTGAATTATGTGATAGTTTACATGGGAGAACATTCATCCTATCGTATATCGTTTCATTGCCATGTGTTTAACCATGCATTTGTTGCTGGAAGTTTTCAGTTGCTGATGGATGTTATGGATTGAATTGTGTCCCCCAAAAGTCTATACTGTAAATCCTAATCTGTATGCCTGTGGTTATAATTCCATTTGGGAATGGATTGTCTTTGTTATGTCAATGTGACCGGATTTCTATTGGGTATGTTTTAAATTAGTCTTTTTTTTTTTTTGAGATATAAAGGAGATTTAACAAGCATTCAAGAAGCAGAGCTAGGGGAAGAGAGATGTCAAACTACTTGACAATTGCCCAGGGCAGAAGCTTAAAAGGACTTTCCTCCACTGAGAAAGACAGAAAGCCTTGACCTAGAGTCAGCACCCTGAATTCAAACTTCTAGCCTCCTAAACTGCAAGGAAATAAATTTGTTTGTTAAATGCACCTATTTATGATATTTCTGTTGGAGCGGCACTAGGTAACTAAAGGCAGAAGTTGGTGCCACTAGAGTGGGGTGTTGCTCTATCAAATACCTAAACTGCACAGATGGGTTTGGGATTAGGTAATGGGTGGAGGCTTATAGGAGTGCAGGGCTGGACATTGTTTTGTTCTGTTGTGCATGGGGTTCCTGTGAGTCAGAACTGACCTGACAGCACCTAACAACAACATCTCAATGTAAGGAAAACACAAATCCTCACCACTGGACTAGTAAACACCATTCTTATCAACGGAGAAAAGATTGACATTGTCACGGACTTCATTCTTCTTGGATCAACTATCAACATTCACAGAAGCAGCAGTCAAGAAATCAAATGACGTATTGCGTTAGGCAAATCTGCTGCACAAGACCTTTTAAAAGTGTTGAAGAGCAAAGATGTCAGCTTGAGGACTAAGGTGCACCTGACCCAAGCCATGGTATTTTCAATAACGTCATATATATGAGAAAGCTGGTCAGTGAAAAGGAAGACCGGAGAAGAATTGACGCTTTTGAGTTTATGGTGTTGGAGGAGAATATTGAAAGTGCCATGGGCTGCCAAAAGAACCAATAGATCCATTTTGGAAGAAGTGCAGCCAGAGTGCTCCCTGGAGGCCAGAATGGCCAAACTTCGTCTCTCATACTTTGGACATATTGTCAGGAGGGACCAGTCACTGGAGAAGGATCTCATGTTTGGTAAGGTGGAGGGTCAGAGAAAAAGGAAGATCCCAATGAGATGGATTGGCCAAGGGGCAGCATCGATGGACTCAAGCGTGGCAACAACAGTGACGTTGGCCCAGGATTGGACAGTGTTTCGTTCTGCTGTGCATAAGGTCACTATGAGTAGGTACCGAGTTGATGGCACCTAACAACAACAACAACAGCAAAAATAGTAAAAGCCTAGACTGCCTTGAAGAAACGGTGGGTAGAATTATGGAATTCAAAGGCATTTTGATGAGGGCTCTCCAGGAAGTAAGGAGAGCTATAGAGAAAGCCCTGTCATCTTATAGGATACATTTGGAGCCAGCAACAGACTATTGGTAGAAATGTGGCTGTTAAATGTACTTCTGGTGAAGATTTAAAAGATAATGAGTACATGTGATTCAACAGTGGATAAAGGGTGATGCTTTGTATGTAGTAGCAAAGGACTTACATGAATTATGTTCAGATGCTTGCTAGAACATAGGAGTTGTAAGTGATGAACTTGGATATATGGCTAAAGAGAATTCTAAGCAAGATATCAAAGGGGCTGTGTGGTTTGTCCTTGCTATTTATAGTAAAATGAGAGGAAAGATATGGACTTTAAAATGAACCATATGCAATAAAACCAGAACTTTTTTTGTGACTATATAATCTTTTGTTAAAGAGATTAAGCCTATAACTGGATCAAATCAACTACCAGAACAGAAAATCCATCAGCTTAGACTAAAGGGGACAGAGAAGGAATGAAAGAAAAGGTCACTGTCTGCCTCTTGGAATTCTATAGGCAGGAAATAGACTAAAGGAGCTATATCTATAGTCCTCCAAGAAAAGAAAAGGGCCATCCCTGGAGCATCTTGGCGATCAGAAGAACTGGTGGAAGGAGCATTGGAAGCAAAGCTGCTTTGGTCTGGATGGAACCAAGGCTTCAGGGGTCACAAGGGGTGGGGCCATGGCCTCTGGAATGTCAAAGGGTGAGATCACGGCCTCCTACTGGGCCCCACGGGGATGGGGTCACTACTTAGATGGAAAAGGAGACTGGGGCCATCCTAGAGTCTGGAGGGCAAGTCCATTGCTTAGATGGTCTCAGAGAACAGAAGATTATTTTCAGGATTGAGAACTGGTGTAAATTGTTCTGCTGGATGTTGGGTTTGCTTAGTATCCATTATCCCTGTTTTCGCTCCAATTTCTCATATTTTTAATGGAAATGTCTCCTTTGTGCCTGTCCCACCATTGTACTTTGGGAACAAATCATTTGCAGTCTGGATTTTATAGGTTTATAGATAAAGAGAAATTTTGTCCCAAGATGGAATATGCCTAACATCTTAGATTTATTGGATTTAGATGATTCTGTAGTTGGGTTTTAGAATTGGAATTGATTAAGGCTTTGGAGATGTTGTAATGGTGTGATGGGTTTTGTATGAGACTAAGGACATGAATTTTGGAAAACCAAAGGGTAGAATGTTAGGGATTGAATTACTTTTCCAAAAATTATTTATTGTCAATCCTAACCTCTGTGCCTGTGGCTATAATTCCTTTTGGGAATAGGTTGTCTTTGTTATGGTAATGACACAGGACTACAGTGTAGGGCGTGTTTTGAGTCAATTTCTTTTAAGATGTAAAAGAGATTAAGCAAACAAGGATTAGAGCCAGAGATGGGGGAAGAGAAATACCAAGTCACAGGAAGATCACCTGGGAGCAGAAGTATAGAAGAGATGAGGACATTCTCCAAGAGCCAAAACAAAGAAAGCCTTCTTCTGAATTTGGATATATGTACATATATCCTAAGATATATGTAAATAAAATTTTTGTTTGTTAGAGTTACCATATGTGGTATTCCTGTCATAACAGTACTGGATAACAAACACAATGGACATTTGGGTTGTTTCTAGGTTTTGGAATAAACGATGCTGGAGTCCCAGTGTGCCACTGTAGGTTAAACACTGTAGGACTGCCAACTGCAAGGTCGGACTTCAAACATACCAGCCGCTCCTTGGAGACACCCCATACAGGATTGCTATGAGTCTGAATTGACTAGATGTCCCTTAACAACAACAACATGAACATTAGTGTACATGTCAATATGGATAGGTTTTTTGGGGGGAGAGATACCTAAATGATATTTTATTGCATTTCTATATAGTGGCTAATGAGCTCGATAATCTTTTCATGTGCTTATTTGCTGTCTATAACGTCTTGTTTGCTGAGGTGTCTGTTCAGATTTCTTGCGTGGTTTTACTGGGATGTTTTGATTATTGGTGTATGCTTTGCAAATGTTTCTTCCTAGTTTGTGACTTGTCTTTTCAGTCTCTTGCCTGAAAGTTTCATTTAAAGAGCAGTTTTTAATTTTGAATGAAGTCCAATTTACTTATTTTCTTTATATTCATACTTTTAGTGTTGTATTTAAGCAAAGTGGCGATGCAGGTTAATACACTGGACTGCAAAGTTGGTTTGAACTGCAAGGTCGGTGGTTCAAGCTCAGCAGCCGCTCCTTGGTAACAACAACACCACACTGTGTATGGTACACTATTCAAAAGACAGCTGGCGTGGCTATATTTTTTTGCCTGACCCAAAGTCAACAAATATTTCCCCCTATGTTTTTTTCTAGACATTTGCATTTCATTTTGTATTACTTTTTGTATTATACATTTTGTATTATGCTTTGTTTTTGTATGTGGTGAATCTTCATATTTGTGGTGTGAGGCACGGATTGAAATTCCTTTTTTTTCCCTTTTTTGCCTGTGGAATTCAGTTGTTCCAGTACCTTTTGTTGAAAAGATAGCCTTTCTTCCAATGAAGGGCCTTTGCATGTTGGTCCATCTATTTTCGGAGTCTATTCCACTGATATACTTGCCTATTTTTAAGTGGCTATCACCATGTCTTGATTATTTGTAGACTTAAAATAAGCCTTGAAACCTGATATTAGTCCTTCAATTTTGTTGTCTGTTTTCAAAGCTTTGACTATTATAGACCTTTTGCATTTACCTGAGTTGCCAAATTAGCTTCATTTTCCATCAGTCACTGTCCTTTGGTGCCCAGTGCCCAGTGTCTTGCCCACTGTCTCCTGCATCTTGTCTGTTGTGGTTTTAAATGGGAGGATTCATCTGGTTCTTGTTGCTCCATCTTGGCCCAAAGCGGAAGTCCAACACTTAAATTTTTTTAATGAGGTGGTATTTTTTTAGACAGAGAATGTACTGCTTTGACTCCTAGTTGGGAACGCACATCTTTTAATTATAACTTATTAAAAGTGAAGACATAGCCTTGAGAAAGTATTTTCCGATGTGAGCTTAATAGCCAATTGAATGTCCTGAGAAAATTTCTTTCTAGTGCAAGTAGACTTTTTCCTTTTTTTATTATTATTTTATAGAAATTCTTTTCAGTGGGATTCATTCTTTGTCGTTGTTGTTAAGTGCCATCGAGTTGGTTCCAACTCACAGTGAACCTGTATAGGGTTTTTGAGGAGAGGCTGCTGAGTTGGACTGCCGCCTTTGCAGTTCAAACTGACTTTGCACTCCAGGGCTTATCCTACAGCGCCCCCCCAGGACTCCATGTGTAGAGTCCTTCCCTTAGGGGTGGTGGTTGTTGTTGATAAGTGCTCAGATAAGTGATCAGTTCTGACCCATTGCGACCCTGTATAGAGTTTCTAAGAAGCAGCTGGTAAGCTTGAACTGCTGACCTTTTGGTTCAAGCCAACCTTGTGTTCCTGTGCATTAATCCACAGTGCCACACCAGGACTATTTCTCTTAATGGAGGGAAGAGCAAATGGTGGGGTCAGAACACCTAGGATCCAACTGTGTCCTCTGAACCCCACCCCCCCAACGATGGTGGACCACCTTCCTTGCCAGCACTTTAGTGGCTCTCCTTAATTGTTGTGATGTCTGTGTCATGTCCCACCCAGCGAGGGTGTTGTAGTTTCATTCTTCCCAGTCGCTAAACCCAGAGCTGGGGCATGGTGTCCCAGTGAAGCATCCTTGTCTGTATATTGTGCCTTCATGTGCATCTTCCTATAGGGAAGGATTCATTCCTGGGGGTGGACTTGCTGCTCAGAGACTGTGCAAAATTCACATGTCTTTTTGTTTTGGGCTACGATGTGGCTTCACTTTGAACCTCCTCACTTTGTGATTTTTGAGTCCATTGTAGTAGGTGTATCTGTGTGTGTGTGTGGTGGCGGGGACCAAGTCCCAGTAGAGAGGTTTTCCAGAATGCCGTTCAAAGTGCCAAGTGGCTCAGTTGCATAATGGATTAAACATTGAGCTGCAAACCACAAACTTGGTTGGTAAATCCCACCAGCTGTTCCATGGAACCAAGATATGGCAGTCTGCTTCGGTAAAAATTGTTGTTAAATGCCATTGAGTTGGTTTTGACTCATCGCGACCCTGGATAGGGTTTTCAAGGAGCGACTGGTGAATTTGAACCACCAACCTTGAGGTTCAAACTGACCTTACAGTTGAGTGCTTATCCTACAGTGCTGCACTAGGACTCCTTGGTAAGGATTGTTGTTAAATGCTTTTGAGTTGGTTCTGACCCATAGTGACCCTGTATAGGGTTTCCAAGGAGCAGCTGGTGAGCTTGAACCACCGACCTTGCAGTTCAAACGGCTTTGCATTCTGACACATTTGCCCACAGAACCACACCCTACGGGACCATTCTACTTTGCCCTTTAGGGTCCCTATATGTCCAAATTAACTCGATGGCAGCAGGTTTGGGTTTTTGGTTTGGGACCCATTTTGCGGGCTGGTTATGTCTTCACAGTGACACTTCACAGCTCCTGGTGAGGTGCCTGCCAAGCTGGTCTGCATTTTCTTTCCTTAGATCCAGACAAAGACAGTCACCCAGTGTGTTGAGTATTATTACATCTGGAAAAAGATGATCAAGTTTGACTGTGGCCGAGCCCCAGGGCTTGAGAAGAGGGTCAAGAGGGAGCCAGAGGAGGTAGACAGGACAGAAGAGAAGGTAGGGGCTGTCTAGAGCCCAGCTCTGCTATGGCTCAAGGTTGGAGGGCTGGGGGTAGGGGGACACGTGTGCCCTCTGATCTCTGTGTCCCACATGAGAGTGGGAGGCCAGCACCTTAATGTTGCCTTTGTCCTCTCTACAGGTCACTTGCAGCCCTCGGGAGCGACCCAGCCACCGTCCGACTCCTGAGTTAAAGATAAAGACCAAGAGTTATAGGAGGGAGTCCATCCTCCACTCCAGCCCCAACACAGGCCCCAAGAGGACTCCTGAACCGCCAGGGAGTGTGGAGAGCCAGGGTGCCTTCCCATGCAGAGAGTGTGAGAGGTACCTACCACCCCGGGGTGCTCCTGCTGACCCCCAGCTTGCTTCCTTCCCACAGCCCCACACTGACGCTGACCTCTCTGGTGACTCCATAGGGTATTCGATAAGATCAAGAGTCGGAATGCCCACATGAAGCGACACCGGCTCCAGGACCACGTGGAGCCTATAGTCAGGGTGAAGTGGCCGGTGAAGCCCTTCCAGCTAAAGGAGGACGAAGAGGAGGAAGAGGAGATGGGGGCTGACATTGGCCCCCTGCAGTGGTGAGGCCAGGTGGCCAGCCCTATCTGGGAGATGCCCTTCTGCCCCCGGCTTCCCCCACAGCCAGCCCAGCTACCAAGTGTGTGGGGCGTCTGGAAGCTCCAGGTTGTGGGACTTGTACCATCTCCATCTGTATGGGCAGCAGAGGCCAGTTCTCCTTGTTCACCAGCTCTTCTCCTCCAGAACGGGGTGGGGAACCAGGAGGGAGGGAGAAAGTTAGACCTGCGCACTTGAGATGTAGCCTCGCCTCAGGTTGGGGCCTGGCTCTGTTTGTCAGGTGAGGCCAAGATGTGCAGAGTCCACAGGAAGCCCCTTCAGACTACTGCCTTGCTGGGCCTCTCTCATCAAGGGGTGGACACGCTCCACTCCCAATTTGCCCTTATCACCCAGTGACTTGTACATTGTTAGGTCGTCTTTTGGTTTTTTTTTTGTACGTGTCTTCTGGTAAATTTAATTAAATTGGGTTTTTGAGCAGCAGCTGGCTTCTGGTTTCCCTGGCCTTTGATCCCACACAAGGGCTTGAAGCCCTGGTATGTGCCAGGGTGACAGAGAAGAGAAAGATGAACCAGCCCTTAAGGAGTGGGTGACTTGGTGGAGGGGCTGGGCAGATTAATTCATACATTTATTTAGCAAGCATTTAGTAGACACCAGCATGGAATCCTGGTGTGGCACTGTGGCATAAGCACTGGACTACTAACTGCAAGGTCAGCAGTTCAACACACCAACTGCTCCTTGGAAGCCATATACAGCGGCCCTGTTAAGTGCTACACCAAGGAGCAGCTGGTGTAGCACTTAACAGCAAATCCCTACTGCTATTGAATCGATTCCAACACACAGCACTCGATAGGACAGGGAAGAACTGCTCCATTGGGTTCCCAAGGCTGTAAATCTTTTCAGAAGTAGAACTGCCTCATCTTTCTGCCTTGGAACTACTGGTGGCTTCAAACTGCTGACCTTCCAGTTATCATGTAACCACTGTACCCCCAGGATGAGCGGTACTAGTTGGGTGCTTTGTAGGACATCCCTGTATTAATACGACTTTGTCTCAGACTTTTCTCCTAATTAGACCTGGAGTTAGGAGTTTTGGGGAGGAAGACAACAGAGTAGAAGGACCATGTTCTCTCCATGCTATTCACACGACTATACCTGTTGATGTTGACCTGGTCACGTGGCTTAGGTAATACTTGTCAGGGCTCCACACTCATTAAGGTTACTCTTATATCTTTCCCTTTTCATATTGTCCACTTTGGAAGAAGTCTTCAGATTCAACCCACACTAAAGGAAGGAGTGGGGGCATTCAGGGTCACTTCCTTGAGGGTAGAGTATATCAGTTATCTGGAATTTGTTTCTTTGCTCCCGTTTCTTTCTTTATGCAGCCATTTCTGTAGATCAGCCTGTGCCTGAATGATTGTTGTTGTTGTTGTTAAGTGCCGTCGAGTCGGTTTCGACCCATAGCGACCCTGTACAGGGTTTCCGAGGGTGTAAATCTTTACGGGAGTAGAAAGCCTGATCTTTCTCCCGCGGAGCAGCTGGTAGTTTCGAACCGCTGACCTTAAGGTTCGCAGCCCGATTCGTAACCACTACGCTACCAGAGCTCCTTGCCTGAATGATAGAAACAGTTTAACAAGCCTGACCGCTAACCAAATAGTTAGAGGTTTGAGTCCATCCAGAATCACCTTAGAACAAAGCCTGGTAATCTACTTCCAGAAACTCAGCCAATGACAATTGGACAGTTCAACTCTAACTCACATGGGTGAATGGGAATGAGAGTGGCCAAGAGTCGTTTTAGACTGGATGGCAACTTGTGGTGGATTTGTGATGACTTCTTTTCTACTTTGCGTTACAATCTGTATTTTATTTTCCCATTGTTCCAGCTTTGGCCACTGGCAGCCCTTCCAGTTGGCTTTTGTGTCCCTTTGACATCCCTCAGCATGTATGATATGTGTGTGTTTTGTTTTTGCTGTAGCACTTTGTTAATTTCTGGCACTATAAGATACTCCTGGTGTGGTGCTGTGAGATAAAGTACTGGACTGCAAGGTCGGTGTGAACCGTGGGGCTGGCAGTTCAAACTCACCAGCTGTTGCTCGGAAACTCCACACAGGGTCGCTGTGAGTCGGAACCAACTCAACTACACTTAATAACAACATAATGCTCAGCTCCTCCCTTTTACTAGAGTATGGTATTGGAAACCAACATTCATGCTTTGTAGGTGTTTTTGAATACAAGATTTACTTCATTGGATAGTGCAGCTATCACCTCTACCACCAAAACTTTTTCATCATCACAAAACAGAAGCTTAGTATCCACTCAGCTTCCCTCCTACCCACCCCGTCACTGACAACCACTACAATATCTATTTTGTTGTTGGTTCCGACTCATAGCAAACCCAAAGTAAAATAGAACGAAACAATGCCCAGATCTTAGTGTGTGTCTGTACGTTTGTTTATTCTAGATATTTCACATAACTGTTGAAGATGTATTTTTAATACTGTTCCCAGTTACTTCTTACTCAAATAGATTTAGGGAAGCTGTGATCGCCAAGTTTTGTTTCTGGTCTTCAGAGTACTTTCACTAACCTCCCAAACCGGTCTCTACAGTCTACAGTAGAGGGCGCAAGAAAAGGCAGAATGTTTTCTTTTTTGCCACACACGCCCTTCCAATCAGAGAACTGCGTGAGATAAGCGCGAAGGCGGAGACTAAACTCTAAACCGGGGGGCGGGGTTCCTGTAGTCTGTCACGTGAGGGTTGACTGTCAGCTGACGGGCTCAAGGTTCAAAAGGTGGGGCGTGGCCCCAGCGAGGGCAGCGGATAATTAGTGGAGTGGAATACAGAAAGGTAGGGTTTGGGGCGGATCCTTCATGGTGAAGATTAATTTATGTCGAGTCACGTGGGCACTACGGCGCACTGGGACGAGTGAAGATGCAGTACGCGGATATGTGCGCACACTTCGATTGGAAGTCGCGGGTCACGGGGCGTTGTGCGGAGGCAGGCGGGGGCGTGACCAGTGGGGGCGCGCACCTTTCTACGAGGCTTTGGATTGGTCGGCGTGGGTCACATGGTACTGAGTCGCCAGCGGCACGCGCTAGTGCGACGTCAACGCAGTCAATTAAGCCTCCCCAATTTGTCTGTCGCGGTTAGGTGGGGACTGTGTCCTCCCAGGGCCCGGGTCGGACAGTTTGCCGAGTCCCTGTGCTGCCGTCATGGACAATTCCGGGAAGGCAGCTGAGGCGATGGCGCTCCTGGCCGAGGCGGAGCGCAAGGTGAAGAATTCGCAGTCCTTCTTTTCCGGCCTGTTTGGGTAAGAACCGGGCCGACGTCCGGCCGGGATCTAGGCAGAGGGGACGAAGGAGTCAAGGCCGCGGGTGGCGGGGCTCGGGCTCGGGGATGGAGGGGATCCGGAATGAGGCGACATGGTTCAAAGCTGCTGGGGGCCACAGGCTGAGGGCCAGTGGCTCCGGACCCCTGACCCCACGGAGTGAGGTGAGACCGTTGGAGACGGCCGTGGGGACACAGACCGAGGCGACACCTTCTTGAGGCGGAAGATGGGCCAAGGGTGCTGTGAGAACTCTAGTAGAACCTACTGATCTACTTACTGAGGGATCTCCGAGATGTTGACATTGCAGAGGCCCGCGGAAGTGTGTTATTTGCGTGGGCCATGGATGAAAAGTCTGACACCAGGCCGAGGTGTGCACGGTGCCTGGGAGACAGTGATGACCAGTGGAAGGGGACCTCATACCAAGTGGGAGTCGGGTGGGGACGAGTGTGCAGTGGGGGAATGAGATATGCTGGCCTGGCTGAGATGGAGGGACCACAGGGGCTGAGCTCGTGCTGTGTTTATTGCTGAATAAAGGCGGGGAGGTTGACAATAACTGGAGCAGGCCGAGAAGGGCATCTTCGAGACAAAAAAGTAACTCCTGTGATGGGACAGAATTGATTAACTCATAAGAACAGTCCCCACAACATACTTTGAGGAAGTTTAATGGTTTTGGTGTTTCAAAAAGCCCAGGTTTGAAGTGTGGTTCTTCAACTTACCGTATTTGTTACCTGTAACTTGTTGAGGTCGTGTCGGTTCCGACTCATAGCGACCTTGTATAGGGCTTCCACGGAGCGGCTGGTGAGTTTGAACTGCCGACCTTGCGGTCTAGTGCATTATCCCACAGCAGGACTCCTTTGCCTATAGCCCACCTACATATATAATGCACACTGAAGACTGTGCATAAGGGTGTCACATGGTTTGGAAAAAAACAAAACAAACATCTAGTGAGTGTATTACTTTTGTAAAAATCCGGTACTTTTAGATCATAAGTGTGGGGTCCTGGGTTGTTGAACTTCTTTACCTCAGAGGTTTGCTGAGGCAGAGGGCTGAGTACCAGTGTAAGTGTTGATAAGTGTTGAAAAGCAAGTGGGGAGGTGCCGTGGTTAAGGACTGTTTCTTTGCTGGAGGAAAACAGGCTTGAAGCCTGTAGGGCTGGAGGAGACCTAGGTCTGGAGGGAGATGAGCAGGGATGCTAGGGGGGATGAAGAAGTGGTTAATGTGGGACTGTGGCTCTGGACAGAGGAAGTTGGGAGCCCTGGAGGACCAGAGGAGGGGGAGGCTGAGGGAGAGACCGGAAAGGGTGAAGGGGAGGCTGGGGACACAGTAATGAGCACTAGGAGAAGAATTGGTGGGAGTCTTGGCGTGGCACTATAGGATCAGCAGCTGCTTCTAGGAAACCCTATACAAGGTCGCTATGAGTCAGAACTGACTCAACAGAACTTAACAACAACAACAACAATCAGTGGGAACTAACTTGATGACGCTTAACGAGAGGAGCCCTGGTGGCATATAGTTAAGGGCTTGGCTGTGACCCGAAAGATTGGAGGGTTCACACTCACCCAGCAGCCCCTTGGGAGAAAGATCTGACAATCTGTTCCCATAAAGATGACAACCAAGAATACCCTACAGGGAGTCCTCCTTGGTCATGTGCAGTCGCCGTGAGTCAGAAGTGACTCCACAGCACCTACCA